CCACTCTGTCCTGTGCCAATCGCACTGTCTCTGACACTCCCATCCCGATTACCCCAGTCACTGAATCAAGCCACCTCATAGAGGGCCTTCCCCTCCTACGCCGTCCCTCCACCCTACCAAGCATGACATTCCTCTCCAAGGACTGGTCCCTCCTTACAACATGTCCAAAGTATGTTAGACGAAGCCTCAGAATCCTTGCCTCCAGGGAGCCACCCAGTTTTGTATGAGCGTAATTAAATGTTTTGAAATTCCCATTTTTCTTGATGTTTAGCTGTAGTTTGTTAAGATATACACAATTAAATGCCATTGCATAGTTAATAAAGCACGAACAGACAGTCTGCTGGTATTCTTTGCCAGGATCCATCTGCTATTAGCAATGATATCTCTGGAGCCATGTCCTCTTCCAAATAAGCTTGAATTTCTTATGCTTCTCTAAGTACTGGTCTAGCCCTTTTTGAATGATTTTCATTGTTATTTTTCTAGAATGTGATATTAATGATATTGTTCTATAATTTCCAAATTTGTTGAACCTCCTATGTCCTGGTGGTAAGAAGCTTGGCTGTCAACTCAAAGGCATTTGGATCAAATCCACCAGCTGCTCCATGAGAGAAAGAGAGGCATTCTCTTCCCATGTAATTTCCTGCCTCTGAAAATCTGCTGGAGGTTCATACCGACCCTCCAATGTCTTTTCTGAAGCAGCAGATTTTATGGGAGAAGATTGCCTATCCTTTTACTGTAAAGTAGCTGGTGGATTTGAACCACATACCTTTGGGACTGCAGCACAACTTCTTACCACTAGACCAAAATGCTCCTCCTAACAACATACCCAAAGTATGTGCGATGAAGTGTTGCCATTCTTGCCTCCAGGGCACAAGCACATAGGCCACACTTCCTCGAAGACATGTATGTTCTTTTTGCAGGCCATGACATATTCAGTACTCTTCCTCAACACCACAAGTAAAATGCATCACTTTTTCTCCTGTCCGCCCTATTTATTGTTCAGCTCTCAGGTGCACAGCAAGTGACAGAAGAGACCGTGACTTGAGTCAGGCATATACTAGTCCTTAAACAGACATCATTACTCCTCAGTGGCTTGGAGACGTACTTAATGGTACACTTTCCCACTGGAACATGGGTTTTGATTTCTTGACTGCTGGTGCCAAGGGTGTTGGTTGTAGATGCAGTGAGATGAAATAGCTGACAGGTCATGATTACGCTGTTGGAATTTGGCAGACACAGAAATACTTGGAGATATTGCAGGCTCGGTTCCAGAGCACCACAAGGAAGCCAATGCCACAGTACAGCCAGCCATGGGGCTTGTTTGGTTTTTCAATGCACTTAAAATTGTATAGGTTATAGGGTAGTGAGTGTTCAATAATAGAATTCTGGAAAAGTTTGAAATATGACATTTACCAAACTCTGAAACAGAGATGCCAAGTGACCGTAAACTATGGGAAAAATGTCAACTTGATCAATGTAAGATGGTCACAGATCTTCACTTTGTAAAAATCTCCATTATCCAGGAAACCAGCCTAAACCAAATGGCTGGCTCCAAGGAGATTCAAACTCATATCAACCCTCCAGGGTGTTTCTGAGGCTGCAAATCTTTATGGAGACCACCATCTTTCCTCCAGATCTGTGGGTGGAGTTGAACCACTAGCTTGTGAGTCTTCTGGTTAGTAGCCTGACACAGTGTGCATGACACCACCAGGACGACCCCACTTGTTCTGTTTCTATTACATTTTCTGATTGTTTCTGTTGCATTTTTATTACAAATTATTGTTACATGTAGGAGAGGCTGTAGCACTAGGGACATTATACCCAATGTCTGATGGATCTTAGCCAAAAGCAGAGTACCAGAGAAATGTCTATCTGTGTTTCATTGACTTTGCAAAGGCATTTGACTGTGTGGATCACAAAAAACTGTGGCTAAGTAATCTTGAGAAGTATGGGAATCCCAGAACGCTAATTGTGCTCACGGGAAACCTATACTTTGACCAGGAAGCAGTCGTGTTTATCAAGATTAAGTCCTAAACAAGGCTTGTTATTGTTGTTGTTAGGTGCCATTGAGTTGAGTATGACTTAGCGTGACACTAAGACTTGCCCAACATTTGCTTAATGCTAAGCAAGACCGAGTTCTTAGGATAAACATCTAAGGAAAGCCAATATATAGACGTTGTAAGCAGAAACTCAGAGGACACAGCAGAGCAATGGAGAAAAGTTTTGGATAGCACAGTCTTTAGGGAAAGCTTCCACTATTCAGAGAAGCATACAACTGCTCTCAAAAGAATCTAAATAACAGAATGGGTAAATGTATTAAAGAGAAAAAATGTTCTAGAATATCTAAACTGTCTATGAGGCAGTGTCCCCGAGGGTCAGATCAGTCTTTAGGTAAACATTTCCTGAAGAGGAGGCACTAGGCTAGAGTTCTTGGGTAACAATAATATAGATCACAGGAACCTGAAATTGAATGTACTGAAGACATCAGGACATGACAGTATCTTGAATCATGGATCTAAAGGAGTTTTGATTTATGTGGTCGAGGTAAACATAAACTCTCAAACCAAAATCAGCTGTACAAAAAGTTAACTGATAAAATAATGACTGAGCTTAAAAGTCCCACAAGGATAAATATGATATAAAACTGTTATTGTAGAATGAGTAAAAGGATCCAGGAGGGGTGGGAGAGGCTGGAAGCAGACGGATGTGGATCGGCAGGGGGAGGGAGGATTAATCAATGGGTTGTACAATTTGATGGGGGGGGGTGAGGGAAATGGAAAGAATTTGCTCAAATTTGTGTTTGAATTTTGTAAATAAACTAGTAGAGAAAAAAATTTAAAAAATCACCAAATAGCATTGAATAAAAGAAAAAAAAATCCCCACAATGTACATGAATGAAAAACAATGTAAATGAACTGTTGTCTGAGAATCAATTAAAAAAAATGAAAAAATATTTAGAAAAAAGAGCTCTCCAAACAAAAACTCAGAAACTGTTTTCCTGAATTACAATGAGAAGAAACATCTTTTTTTTTCCTTTCTTTTTCATTCTGGAGTTTAGAAACAATATACTTTTCATAAAGACAGAGAAGAATCAACTTTTTTAGGCTGAACACATAACCCAGGCCTATCAAGACCTACATGTATATGAAATGAAAGCAGAAATTGTTTCAGAAAAACCTAGATAACTCAATATTACCCTAAGCTTTCTTGATACCCAAGAGGTAACAGTGCAAAATGTTGATCAGCAGAAACTATTATTATTATTAATTTTAAATGAAAATTTACAGAGATTTTGGATTTCCATTCATTCATTGTTGCGCTTTTCTCCTACCCACCTCTCCCCTCCAATTCTTTCTTCTTGAAAAGTAAAAGAAAGATTCTTTCATCGTTACACAATCCCTCCCCCAAAGTCCACTCCACTGTGCAGCCTTTGTTCTGGACTCCTGTCATGACAATAACTTAAGGAAAGCTAATGTGTACTTGGCATAACGATTGACTGAGGAAGAGGGTAATAGGACATTTGGCCGAGGCTCCAAAACACGACTTGTAATCGTCCAGATGACGAGATCCCTGAGGAAGGAAGAGGATGATGCAGGCACATAGTGACCGGCTGCATGGCTGTATATGCACGTAGAATCCCTCCTGTCTGTCCAATTCCATCTTAAGTCCAACAAGACGGTGTCTCTTGCTGTTCCTCATGGTCAAGAGCTGCTCCTCCTTCACCACTCTCATCCACTAGTAGAGAAGTTGGCTCAGGCTTTGGCCATCTGGTTCTGAGAGATCGGAAGCTGAAACAAGCTCCCAGTAAAAAGTTCTTGATAGGAGGGTTTCCCCATGTGCTGATCCACCAATCTGGAAAGCAAGAGGCAGCCCTTCATGGCCCTGTCCACCAAAGGGGTTTCCCATGTGGATCTTGACCCCTGCTTTTCAATCATATCATAGTGAAGATAAAAGACTCATTCCCAAGCCTAAGTGTGTTGGTGAGTTGAGAATTTAGGTGAACTTTACTTAGTGTGAAAATTTCCATTTCATGTCCTCCAGGAAGTTACCTGTTTTAATGTTGTCAGGTGCCATTGAGTTGACCACAAGTCGTAGCGACCTGAGAGCCTTGTTCTGTCCTGCCCTTTCATCCCCATCCGGCCACACTCGAGCCTGTCACTGTGGTCACTATGTCAGTCCATTTCCTTGAGGGGCTTCCTCTCTCCCTCTGACCCTTTGTCTTTCTGAGCATCTTGTCTCTTTCCGTGATTGGTCCCTCCTGACAACATATTTTAATAACTTTCAATTTTATGAAAATACATTTAGTTAAAAGTATATTGGACAGAACTGATCAAATAAGCAAAGAAACAACGGATTTAACTTTCTATTTAAATGCCATTTTTGCCCATATCGAGTGATGTTATTGTTGTTTGGTGCTGTCGAGTTGTAGACGACTCATAACGACCCTAGGATCAAAAGTCGTGAGCACTGTTCATAGGGTTTCCAGAGGCAAGCCATTTCGGAAGTGGATGCCACTCCTCCTTCCAAGCTTATTTTCACTGGGAAGCTCCACCAAACACTGTCCACCATGGGTAACCATTATTGCATACGGCACATCTGTGTCACAGTGTTTAGCACCACAGAAACCACAACTTACCTCTGTACAGCAAATGGACAGACCAGTGCTATACCAGCTAGAAGAATGTTTGAGAAAAAAACCAATTTAAACCAGGCCTGAAGGCTGCAAATTAAAATCACCCAATGAGTGATAGTAAATAAAATATTTAATATCTGATCTCATGTAAATTAAATAGCAAAGAAATGGTTTTAGAAAGATTTTGTCTCATGATTGTGTTAATTGACAATAGAAAAACTCCCATAGAGCAGCTGCTGTGTTTAATCAGTGCCTCCCTTAGAATATGACCCCGTTTCATGGAGGGCTGTCCACAGTGCCTGGCACAGGGTCTGTAATGGTTGTTGGATGGCCTGCAAATAATTCTGGCATATATTTTGTGTTCCAGGAACTGATCTTCAGGTTTGCATATCCAAAAACCCCACGTGTTGTACCAAGAGAATGGAGGAGCGCTATCAAATCGCAGCTCGCCAGGATACGCGGCAGGTGCTTCAGACAGCCAGCTCCACCTTAAAGCTTCTCATATCTCGAAATGCAGCTGCCTTTCAAGGTAAATGTCACTTGAGTTCTGAAACTAAGGACCAGTGTTGTGATTTGATTTATTAGAATCATACTGGGAAAACTTTTCTGAATCTTCATCTTTCCATAATGTTATGGCATAGAATGTGCTTTCTCTAACATTTGGAACTTGTCTTTGAAGCCACTATGGGATTTATCAGTATGTGATTACGTGCATATATGTACACATGTATATACGTATTTTAAAAAGCAGGTTTTTTTCCCCTCTGAACTGACACACAGCTGAGCATTTAGTAGGCTTTTGCTGTTGTTGTTGTGTTCAAGTCAGGACTGACTTATAGCTGATGCTTCAGCAAGTTAAGAGGCAGGAAGTCACGTGGGAGGAGGTTTGTCCTTCTCCTCTACAGAGCAGCTGGTGGATACAAAGTGTGTGCATCTGGGATGATAAGAAATAGCTCATCTTTTTCACATGGAGCCCTTGGAGGATTTGAACTGCCAGAGAGACACTGCCTTTAGGTTAGCTGCTCAACTCCCTATAGATTATGCAAATAGAATTAGAGTTATTCACTGAGATACAGTTACTGTGGAGCAGTTGGTAGAGTCAAACTGTGTGCCGTTGTGATTGTCACCAGAGCTCTTTCATATGTATATAAATACATGCACATGCGTGAAGCTCTGGTGGCCTAATGGTAAGGAGTTGCACTGCCAACTCAAAGGTACATGGTTCAAATATTTCAGCTGCTCCTCGGGAGAAAGGTGGACAGTCTCCTGTGTAATTTATAGCCTCTGAAAATTCCCTAAAGGATAGCTATTGATCGGTTCTCACTCAATGGCGTGTAACAACATATGTTTATATATAATATGAGCGTGTGTGTGCGTGCACACACACACGATGTGCATCTCATCTATGTATCTTTGGAGTTGGGGATATTAGTATATTCATAAGATGGCAAATGGTTCTTGTAAATATATTCCCTGCTAGGAGTCTTCTAGAAGGGCTTCTGATGGCACAATGGTTACACATTTAGCTGTTGACGGAAAGGTTGGTGGTTTGAACTCACAAGCTGCTTGGTTTGAGGAAAGACCTGGCTGTCAGCTCCTGTAAAGATGATGATCCTGAGGTGCATTTCCACTCTGTCCTTTGGGGAAACTATGAATGGAAATTGACTCAATGACACACAGCAGTAGAGCTTTTCACTGTCCTTCCATATTCCAACTTAGGGACCTCTTCAAATTATAGAAGAGTAGAGATGTCAGTTTGAAGGTGTGTCTGATTCAGGCCATAATCTTTCTGATTATTAGCTATGTATCCGAGACCTGCACAATGAATAAGGATGACAGAAAAAGAATTGTTGCCTTTGAACTGTGGTGGTGGAGAACCACACTGGACATCCCATGGACGGACAAGAGAACGAAACAGATATGTCCTGGAGAGGGGGCAGCCAAAGTGCTCTTTGGAGGCAAGAATGATGAGGCTTCGCATCACGTACTTGGACAGATTGCTAGGAAGTGCTATTCTTTGGAGAGGGACGTGATGTTGGATGGGGTGAAGCGTCAATGAAGGAGGGGAAGACTCTCAACCAGGTGGACTGACATGGCAACTGCTGCAATAGGATCTTCTATGTCAGGAAATGCGAGGATGGCACAGAATAGAACAACTATTTTGTTCATAGGGTCGCTATGAGTCGTACTTGACTCGAGGAAACCTAACAACCACAACTACAAAAGTTTTAGTTTAGTATGTTGTTGCAAGCAACTCGATGGCACAAATCAACGATGTTGTTGTTGTTATGTTCTATCTAGTCGCTTGCCACTCATAGCTACTCTATATACAACAGCCCTAAATCTGCTCTATCCCTCACCAATTTTGCTGTTTCTGACATGCCTATCCCCATTACCCCAATGATGGAATCAATCATCAAGGATCTTCCTCTCCTGCGCTGTCCACTCCTCCAAGCATGACGTCCCTCTCTAGGGATTGGTCCAAAGTAAAGAATATATTTTCACATTTTATATGATACACGACTTATAAGAAATAAAATGTCATTGCTTTTAAAGAAATAATTATTAATTTAATTTTAAAAACATGATTTGAAGAAATGTTTGCCCAGTTTCCCACTTGATTTTTATCAGAACATAAACATTGTTATATTTAAGTGTTAAGAAGATCTGGTACATAGTAAAATAGGAAGTATAAAAATGAAACGTTTAGGGTTCACTTAAGACTGGAATTCAATCTTGACTCAAGCAATATGTTCAGAAATAAAATTAATGAGTTATAAAATTACAAGTGCACAGAAAAATAGATTATTTATTTTAGTCATCTCCTAGAAAATATCTTATTACAGCAATAAAATATTTTAATTTAGTGTCCTTCTCGAAAGCATTAGCCATTCTGTTTGACTAGAATGAAAATATCTGGATTATACTGTTTTCAGACAAATTTATTACTTTTTTCTAACACCAAAGATAACTCCTGCTAATACTGCTTTTTTAAGCAGTATATTAATGCCAATCTATTAAATAATTTGTACTTTTGTTTAGATATATAACTGACAACTTGTTAATTTTTAAAATCATACTTATTAAGGAAAATAAATACAATAAGTCAGAATAAAATTTAGCTTGTGTTAAACGACAATTCAGCTGTAGAAACAGAAATGCCAGATTTTAGCATGTTAGTAATTTTCTTTGCTGCCTTATCTTTATCTCTGCTATGGGATGTATTCATGTGAAATTTGGGGAGGAAAACTTACAGGTAGACTTTGTAATAATGAAATTCACTGGAGGATCAGCTGTGAGTCACTTCTCATAATTTGATCATACATAACAGCTACAACAATAACAACCACCACCACCTTTCCCACCTTGTGTATTTTTCCAAGAACTGGTCCTTCCTGACAACACCCAAATTGGCTACCATCTCTAGGGTTAAAATGTAACCAGAAATACCACGGTTCAGATTTTGAGAGCAGAATGCCTAACCTGCTCCATTTTGGGAGTAAAGATTAACTTTACAGCCATGTTGAAAGGCAATTAGCATGTGCAGAGAGCCAGTCAGGGAAGGGACGATAAAGAGAAGAGTAAAAGGAGGGAAGAATGTTGGAACATCTCCGGCAGGCAATAGGCATCATTCCATTGAGAACGGAATATATTTTGCTTGCCCAAAGGAGAGTCTTTTCCCAAATATGATTTGTCAAAGTAAATGGTCATTTTCCCTTTTTATAATTTAAGTTTTATTTTAAAATCGTGAGGAGATAATAAAACTTTAGGAACAATTTGTCTAATGACTAATTTTATTGGAACAAATCCTCTTCAAGAAGAGTAAACTTAGAGTGGACAAGGTGGACAAGTCGGAGTCGACTCCCAGCCGACCCTCCGTTAGGTTTTCAGGAGGCTGAAAACTAGATGGGAGGAGATGCCCCCCCCCTTGTTCCTTCAGAATTACCGGTGTATTTGAACTGCTGGGAAGGCCCTTCCTCTGGAGAGTGCAAATCCTTACGGTCTACACCTCCAGAGCCCCTGTCAGGAAGGGCACCTGCTTTTACGTTGATGAGTACAAGAAATAGTGCTTTCGGCGATTTAGTGCTGTTGTATGCCGTTGTGTCAAAGCTGACTCAGAGTTGACCCTCTAATGGCTTTTCAGAGGCAGTAAATTCATTGGAGGTTATTGCCCACCCATCTACCACAGAGCATCTGGTGGATTTGAACTGTATACCTTTGTGATTGCAGCACAGTTTCTTAGCACTAGGCCACCAGTATTACCCTGTTATAGGCTTATTTCCACAAATACACACTTAACTAGATATTTTAAAAAAAAAGCAGTCTGAGAGTCCACAATTGCTGTATTGTAACTGTGCAAGCCACTTTATAAGGGGAATAACCACTGTGGAGTTTCTTATAATCAAAATACCTGACAACTGTTAAAAATCCTAATTTTTATACAGTCAAAGAAGCCAATATATTTTATTGGGAAATTTAATAAGCTTGGGAGAAAATTAGAAGGGAATTAAAATCAAATGTCAAATGATGCAAGTAGATTTGTTACCAATTTGTATTTTAATTTATTCTTTCATTTGATAATTTTTCTTCAGCAACACTGGCCTGTTTTTCAGTGGAATTGGACTATAAAGAACCAACATGTCCTAGTTTTAGCCCTTCTTCAGCGTTTTATGAGCTAAAATGGCAAGCTGAAATCCATATGCCTGTGGCGGTTTGTAATGACTATCATTGTTGGTACCATTGAGCTGGAATGGACTGGTCGCTGACCCTCTCGCAGGTTTTCAGAGGCCGCACAGGAGAAGACAGCTTCATCCTTTCCTGGTGGGGCAGCTGGTGATTCCAACCACTGTTCTTTGGGTTGGCAGCACGGGCCCTCATCACGAAGCCACCAGAACGCCCTCACAGTCACGAAGTGGTGATATTTGCAAACAGCGCTGCCTGTTGCAGTGCAGACAGTGCCTAGTGTTAATTTTCAGGGTCGGACTGTATCGTTCACATTTCACCAGTAGCTCAGATGGCCTAGTCCTTATTTCACCTCAGCTGTGAGTGAGCTGCTGTCCCCCGAGCACTGTTCTGTGGTCTTCGGGATCCATCCGCTCCTCCCCTGTGGTCTTCATCTCTGAAAACCCACTGGAGCGTCTGCTATGAGTTGGTTCAGACTTGATAACATTGTATTGGTTTTGTTTGTTTGTTTCAAAAGACTTATGCCAGATTTATCCTTTCGGGGTTGACTTTGCCACACATCATAACTTGTTCTAGATTGATCTGTGGTGTTCAGTATTCCAGGAATTCTTGATCCTTTTTAGTGATGTGTGAATGAGCCAGTTGTCTTTAGCCTTGGGTATATTTTTCAATGTTTTATATATTTATACACCAAGCTAGGGAGCTCTGGTGGCCTAGTGGCTAGAAGCTGCTCTGCAATCCCGAAGGCAGATGGTTCAAATCCACCAGCTGCTCCGAGGGAGAAGGTTGGGCAGTCCGCTCTGGTGTGATTTACTGCCTCTGAAAACCCGCTGGAGGATCAGCGAT